CGTTTAGAGATGTGAAACGCAATTGCATGAAGATTGTTGGGTAACACTTTAAATATGTAGCCTGCATGTAATGTAAACATACTTAACCAGAATAATAATATAACAAATAATAATCATTTTACTACGTATTTTTCACTTACACAAATAGGCCGGCCTCTGAGGAGTTTGAATTACTACTGATGTAAATACTCGTGCAATGTGAGTTCTGTATAAAAGTTTATGCAACAGTAGCCTAAGCATTATTATCAAGAGGTAAAAATAATTCCATTTACCTGAACTATTTTTTTAAAATCTTTCTCGTGTTAAAACATGATGCTATGTTTGCGAAAGCTCCTATACTGCAGCAGACACCACCGTGCTTCATAATTATTAATGAAAAAAAGAGGATTTTAATAAACGTAATTGTGAGGAATCCCCCAGGGTTTATCTGGACCTCATTATTTGAGCTTTTACACTAAAATCATTATGTCCCATATAAGTTCCGTTATAGCTCAGCTGGGGTTCCTGACCAAATGGATTACCTCCTCAGGCTCATGGGACCTCGACTTTTATCAGCAAATCCCACAGAGACACATTCATTCAGCCCATGCAGTCTGTACATCATTAAATGAAGTTAAGAGTTCAATTCGAATCATTTTATTCGGACTAAAACATTATTTAAATCGTGCTAGTTTATTTGACTAGAAATATTGTGCAACTTCTGAATTCAAAATACTGCATTGGTACGCACTAAACTACAAAATATGATCAAGTAATTTAAATAAATAATTAAAATCAAATAAACATGACAGGTGTTTTTCAATTTTTAAAATGGTAAAAATCCCAAAACACTTACATTTTGTTTTCAATTCTAATTCACTTAAAGAAAACAAAGTAATAATATAAGTCATATTTAACAATTCATGTCCCCCTCAATTGCTATTCACTTATTTTTCTATAACAGGGACATCACTTTCCCAACATTGCTACCCTTTTTGACACAAACATCTGCAATTTGCAGCAAAACCATCAAACCATTCATCTCTGTGTTGTAGCCCTCTCTATTTCAGAGCTGTTTCTCTTTCACTAATAAAACCCATAAAACTAGTGGAGGCACTGGCAAGCTGTGTCTTCAAGGCTGGATACACCTCTAT